AGCCTGCGGGTGCGGGGACTGGGGGTGCTGAGTCTGGGGGTGCTGAGCCTGCGCGTGCTGCGTCTGGAGGTGCTCTAGGTGTCCTGCCGCGGCGGGAGCCTCTCTCTCCACAGCAGCTTCGTGAGTGGTACTCTCGGCGCTGTCAGGGTGCTACTGGGGCTTCTGGAGGTGCTGCTGGTGCTGGTGCTGCTGGAGGTGCTGCTGGTACTGGTGGTGCTGCTAGAGCTTCTGGAGGTGCTGCTGGTGCTGGAGCTGCTGGAGGTGCTGCTGGTGCTGGAGCTGCTGGAGGTGGTGCTGGTGCTGGAGCTCCTGGAGGTGGTGCTGGTGCTGGAGCTGCTGGAGGTACTGCTGGTGCTGGTGGTGCTGCTGGAGTTTCTGGAGGTGCTGCTGGTGCTGGAGCTGCTGGAGGTGGTGCTGTTTCTGGAGCTGCTGGAGGTGGTGCTGGTGCTGGAGCTGCTGGAGGTGGTGCTGGTGCTGGAGCTACTGGAGGTGGTGCTGGTGCTGGAGCTGCTGGAGGTACTGCTGGTGCTGGTGGTGCTGCTGGAGCTTCTGGAGGTGCTGCTGGTGCTGGAGCTGCTGGAGGTGGTGCTGGTGCTGGAGCTGCTGGAGGTGGTGCTAGTGCTGGAGCTGCTGGAGGTACTGCTGGTGCTGGTGGTGCTGCTGGAGCTTCTGGAGGTGCTGCTGGTGCTGGTGCTGCTGGAGGTGCTGCTGGTGCTGGAGCTGCTGGAGGTGGTGCTGGTGCTGGAGCTGCTGGAGGTGCTGCTGGGACTGGAGACCTTGGGGCTGAGGGTACCGGTTCTGTCTCTGCTGTTTCTGGAGGCGCTGTGCGGCCGCGGCCGTACTACGTTCCGCTTCTTCAGCAGGTTCTTGGCTTCCCGCCTTCTCCTGGTCCTCCTCCTCCTCCTTTACTGAGTCCACCGCCTGTCCAGTCCCAGTCGCGGTTCCAGCCAGCCTCTCCACTGCCTGGTCTTTCTCCTTACTCTGGACCGACTAGTGGTCTTACGGAGCGTCGTGAGCCTGAGTCTCGTCCTGCGTCGCCTGTCCGTCCTGTTCGCGCTGGTCGTGTTTCGCGTCCGCGTCCTCCTCCTGTTCCTGGCACTCACTCTATGACTCTGCGTCCTTCCACTGCTCCACAGCGTGTCCCTCTGCCTTCTCCTCCTGCGTCCTCTCTTCCTGCCGGTCCGGACCCTGCGTCTGACTCCCTACGTGCTGCTAGTCCAGCTGTCACGCGTTTTCTGGCCACTGCTGTCACTGACCCTTTGTTTGAGTCCACTGCTGCGTCTGCTCTTGTTACTGAGCTTGTTGACTTTGCTGCAGCCTGTCGCCTAGACTACGCCGTTAGTCTTGTTACTGAGTCTGCGTCTGTGTCTGTCTGTCCTCCGTCCGTCGGGGGTGAGTGTGCTCTTGGCACGGACGTTCTTGAGGACACACAGGAGGAGTTTGAGTGCTTTGCTGCTTCTGTACCTCATCTCGTGTCCATGCTGCTTGCCCCTGAGGGAGACCCGGATGCACCAGACATCCCGACCCCGCGCTCTTACGCAGAGGCAACAGAGGGTCCCTACTCCTCTCAGTGGCAGGCAGCCATGGACGCCGAGATGGCTTCCTGGAAGTCCACACGCACCTACGTCGACGAGGTTCCCCCGCCTGGGGCGAACATCGTCAGTGGCATGTGGATCTTCAGAGTGAAGCGGCCGCCGGGTTCTCCGCCTGCCTTCAAGGCGCGTTACGTTGCACGTGGCTTCAGTCAGCGACAGGGAGTTGACTTCTTTCAGACCTTCTCCCCTACCCCGAAGATGACCACTCTTCGGGTACTGCTACACGTAGCTGCTCAGCGTGACTACGAGCTCCACTCGCTTGACTTCAGCACAGCCTTTCTACAGGGCAGCCTGCACGAGGAGATCTGGCTGCGCCGCCCACCTGGCTTCACTGGGTCGTTTCCAGCTGGTACCCAGTGGAGCCTCCGGCGGCCAGTCTACGGTCTCCGCCAGGCACCTCGTGAGTGGCACGACACACTCAGGACGACTCTTGCTGCTCTTGGTTTTGCTCCTTCCACTTCTGACCCTTCTCTGTTCTTACGCACTGACACTACTCTACCGCCGTTCTACGTTCTCGTGTACGTAGACGACCTCGTCTTTGCTACTGCTGACACTGAGGCACTCGCCCACGTAAAGTCCGAGCTGCAGAAGACACACACGTGCACAGACCTGGGTGAACTGACAAGCTATCTTGGCTTGCGGATCACCCGGGACAGAGCACAGCGCACCATTACCTTGACTCAGTCACACATGGTGCAGCAGGTCCTTCAGCGCTTCGGCTTCACGTACTCCTCGCCACAGTCCACTCCTCTGCCTACCGGTCACTCGCTCTCAGCTCCACCTTCGGACGAGTCCGTAGAGCCGAGTGGCCCGTATCCAGAGCTTGTGGGCTGCCTCATGTACCTGATGACTTGCACACGACCTGACCTCGCATAACCTCTCAGCCTTCTGGCTCGCTACGTGGCTCCCGGCAGGCACCGAAAGGTGCACTGGGATGCTGCAAAGAGGGTGTTGCGATACTTGTGCAGTACATCGGGCATGGGGCTCGTGCTTGGAGGACGGGCTCGAGTTGTCCTCACTGGTCACGCTGACGCCTCCTGGGTTGACGACTTGGCTACGCAGCGGTCGTCACAGGGTTACACCTTCAGTCTTGGCTCCGGTTCTGTCTCTTGGCGGTCTACCCGTTCTTCTTCTGTTCTCAGCTCCTGTTGTGAGGCTGAGATCTACGCTGGGGCCATGGTTGCACAGGAGCTACGCTGGCTCACCTACCTGCTGACCGACTTGGGAGAGGCGCCTCGTTCTCCTCCAGTTCTGTACGTCGACAACAAGGCCATGCTTGCCTTGTGTCAGGAGCACAGATTGGAGCACAGAACGAAGCACATTGCTCTGCGCTACTTCCTTGCTCGAGAGTTGCAGCAGCGCGGCCAGCTTCGTCTTGCTTACGTGGCCTCTCAGGCCAACAGTGCTGATGTTTTCACCAAGGCACTTCAGCCTTGTGATCATCAGCGTTTCTGTACTGTGTTAGGCCTTGTACCTACTGTGCCTCACTTGCTGACTTCTTGACTCTGCTTGTACTGTACTCTATATACTTATACCTGCATGCTTACACTTGCTAGGTTGTGTTCACTGTATTGTTTGCTTTCCTTTATATAACTCTGCATGTGAACTGGCCTTGTGTCCCCTTGCTTGTGCTCAGAGTGCGTGGTGACTTTGTGATCCACCCTGAGCTTGCTTTACCTTCTTGACTGGTCTTGTGACCCCTTGTTCTCCCCCACTTTGCCTATGGGGGTGTGTCAAACTTATATATGCTATAGTCTGTTTAGGCTGTAGTGGGGTAGTCCTTAGAGGGTACAACACTTTTGTGTTTGCTACTTGTACCCCACCTGTTTCCTAGTTCATTCATTCCTCTCAAGATTCTCACAGGTGCTTCTTGAGCAGGTCGACAGTGAGGTCTGTGGGGTCAAGTGCGAGAAAGTGGTCCCTGACTGCGCGAAGAGAGTCAGGGAGGCGGGTGACTATGAAGTGGAGAGTGATGTACATCGGGGGCGGGTTCCTGTCTAGGAACTCGGCTGGGAGGGCAGCGCGGTAGCGAGTGTCGTTAGTGCGAAGATGGGTAATGAGGTCCTCGACTGTGGCAAAGGCTGACAGATCGGGTAACAGGTAGGGCAGTATATGGCGGCCGAGAGCAGCAATGGCAGGGGAAGAGTAAAGAGCGACTACAGCATCGTACAGGGCTTTAGCAGTCTTGTGCTGGCCAAAGTGAGCGCGTTCGGCTAATGGCAGGTGGTTGCGAACGGCTAAGCGAGCAGCAGCGTCACGGGTAAGCCACTGTGAGCGAGTCGCACTGTCAGCTGTGGCGGGAGGGGCGAGAGAGGCTCCATGCGTGTGGTCAAACAACGAAACGCTTTCTCTAGAGTCACTCAGTAGGTACAGCTGTAAGTCGTCGAGCCACGTATCGAACTGGATCGGACGACCCTCATGATCGAATGTGAGAACACTGAGAGAAGCCATAGCGGCCAGAGCAGGGCGGCGTGCGACCAACAGGGCAGCACGCAGGCAGGGCGGTGCACGAGCACTAGGGAAGCGCGCAGGGCAGGGAGAGGTGGCGCACGGCTAGGGCAGGGCAGGGCAGCGGCCAGCAGGGCGGCGCGTGGGTAGGGCAGGGCGGTGCGGCTGCCAGCAGGGCAACGCGCAGGCAGCAGGGCGGTGCGCGGGCAGCAGGGCGTCGGCCAGCAGGGTGGCGCGCAGCAGGGCGGCGCGGGCAGGGCGGTGCGGGCAGCGGTGCGACCGCCAGCAGGGCGGCGCGCGGGCAGCAGGGCGCCGGCCAGCAGGGCTGCGCGCAGCAGGGCGGGCAACAGCAGGGCGGTGCGGGCAGCAGGGCGGCTCAGCGCGGGCATGGTAGGGCGACGTGGTGGCAGGGCAGGGCGGCGCAGCTGCAAGCAATTTGGTGCGTGGGCAGGGCAGGGCGACGCGACGACCAGCAGGGAGACGCGACAGGCAGGGCTGGGCGACGCGACGGCCAGCAGGGCGACGCGATAGGCAGGGCAGGGCGACGCGACAGGCAGGGCAGGGCGACGCGACAGGCAGGGCAGGGCGACGCGACTAGTGGGGCAGCGCTATGTGGTGGGCCCTAAAAAAAACGGTCGTGGAACAGGACCTGCTCTGAAACCATGTCATAATACTGAACGAGAATGAATGTATTGAACAGAAAGTTGGTAGAAGTACTAACCCTAGTTGGTTTGTACCCCTTATGGGCTACCCTACTACAACCTACACAATATAAGCATTATACCGGTAACATTTTGACACCACCCGCACGCGCACCCCCTTTCACCTTCGCCTTTCCAGCGCCCATTTTGACCAAGAGTAGTCCCGTAATCAACGGCAGCGCGCGTAGGACCGAGACTTCTGACTCGACTCAACACCACCGTCAATGCTTTTGTTATTATTATAATTATCCTAATACTACGACGCATTCTGCCTGAGTTTTCCCCTTCGCTCAAATGCAGCAGAATCATCACCACCCGCCACCGCCTCATCTCCTCTCTCGACCACCCCCCCTCTCCTCCTTCGCTTTGCCTCCCCTGCGCCCTGTTTGATCAAGAGAGAAGCCCCTCCTTTCCTGACAGAGTGTGTGGGTCTGAACACGTTGCAGGTTTTTTTTTTAATAAAATTCCCCAAAAAACCTTGCAGGATCTGAACAGCCGCTGTTCTGCCTTAGCATACTGACTTCACAGAGAAAAGCACCGGCTGTGCTGCAGAGGAGTCCGGAAACCCACTGCCTGCTGATCAGAACACCTCTCTGGAACCACGTTCCCACCTCCTCATCTTCGCCTCTCCAAACCCGTGCTCGACCGAGACAGAAGCCACTCCATCACTGACAATGTGTAGCGGTCGGAACATCGGCAGTGCTGCAGACTCCTTCTGAGTCATTTTTTCACCTTCGCCTCTCCAGCTCCCCATTTGACCGCGACAGAAGCCACTCCATCACTGGCAGCGTGCGCGGGACCAAACACCGGCTGTGCTGCAGAGGACATTCTCTCCCCACCCCCCCCCTCTCCCTCTTTCATCTTCGCCTCTCCAAGCCCGTGTTCGACCGAGATAGAAGCCCCTCCATCACTGACAAAGTGCGCGGGTCCGAAGCCCGGCTGTGCTGCAGAATCGCCGCCACCCGCCTCTGCCTCGCCTCCTCCCTCACCCTCTCTCGCCTCCTCCTCTCCTCCTCCTCCCTCGCCCTCTCCACTTCCTCCTCCCGACTCACTCCCCTCCCAGCCCTCCCAATTCCATCCGCCCCTTCTTCCTCCCGAACCGTGGCCTCCCCACTCCCTCCCTCACTCTCTCCCACCCACCCTCTCCCCCCTCGATCCACCCGTGCAACCAGCAGCAAGACACACGAGACGCCAACCACAGCAGCCACCCTCCCCAGCAGCAGAAACGAGAGCGTCAGCAGCAGTAGCAGCAGCAGAGCAGCAACTTCAGACGAGCCAGCACCACCACCAGCACCGGCAGCAGAAGCAGAAGGAGCGTCCTTAGAGGAGGACGAGGAGGAGGAGGGGGGGTATGAGGGGGTGGAAATAGGGGGCCAGGAGGAGCCGGGAGGGAGGAGAGTGATTGGCCGAAATGTACTTTGCATCTTCATGCTTCGACCAGTCACATCTCCCGTCTTAGCTCCGGTAGCGGCCAAACCTCCAGTAGCTCCGGAACCTTCCGTACCTCCGTGTCTGCTTTGACTTGCTGCCCCACCCTGTACAAGCTGGCTGCTTGCATGCTGTGCCCATTGTACAGGTGTCAGTCTGTCATTGGCCAGACCTGCTCCTTGTGAACGGTGAGGGAGGGATGAGTGGTGGGGCGGGGTGAGGGGTCGCAGGGAGGCCAGACGGCCGAATCTGTTTCTGCGGCTCGATGCTGCTGCAGCCTGCCCAATATCGCCCGATCTCGCGTTCTCAGCTGTTGATTTGACATCACCTGGGGATGCTGCTGCTGCTGCTAGGGAGGCTGCCTCTGCTGCTTCTGCTGCTGCTGCAGTTGTTCCGTCCAAAACTTCCCCAGAAAAGATTGGGGCCAGCAATTCATGGCCCCCATATGTTGCTGCTGCTGATGATGACGATGCCACTGCTGCTGAACCGCTCGGGATAGGCCTCTGCTCCCACGAGCTCGACGAGAAAGGCGACATCTCCTGATCCGATTCCTCCTCCACGCTACTACTGCGCTCCACCTCACCCACAGTAGCCAGGTGTGCAAACAGAGAGTCACTGCTCCACTTGCACTGCCGCTCCCTCCTCCCCGCATCCCTCCCTCCCCTCCCCTCCCTCCCACCCATCTCCACTCCTCCCCCAGCCCGTTCTCCTTTCCCCTCCCTCCTGCCCCATTTTTTGCTCCTCTTTCCCCCTGCAGCCTCTCCAGCAGGGAAGGACGAAGGACTGGTGGCAGATGCAGCATGCAGGGAGATGGAACGACCTACTGCCAGCCGCGCTGGTCCCTCTGCGCCCACTCCCTCTATTCCACTCGCTGCGCTCGCACCAGTAGCTGCACCAGTGGCAGCCCAAGAAGTGGCAGCAGCAGCAGCGCTGCCAACGGCAGCAGCGCCAGCCGTGTCGCCAGCAGGGGCATCAGAGGCAGCAGCGAGATCGCAGCTCCTACCACCATCAGACCATCTCCTCCTGCTCCTCGCCCTAACCGCCGCTGCCGCCGCCGCCGCTGCTGCTGCTGCTGCTGCTGCTGCTGCTGTTGCTGCATGTGTATCCGTTGTTCGCGTCTGAGTTTCTTCTACAGAGGCCGTTGCTCCTGTTGATCCTACAGCCCGCGATCGCTTGCTGCTGCTGAACAAACTCCCAATTCCTCTACCCCCTTTTCCCCTCGATGGAACAACCAAACTCTCTCCCATCCCCATTCCCTCCGCCTCATTGCCCATCCCCTCCTCTCCTCCTCCCCCTCCTCCTTTTCTCTCTCCATCACTGCCACCCAACTCACAAGGTTTCTCCCTGCCCGAACTTTCTTTTTCAATCCTGCCCGACCGCCGCACCTTCCCCCGGCCGTGGAACATACCAGCACCCATAAACGCCATCGTAAATTTCCGCGCTCTCCTCGCCTGCACTACTCCGTCTGTTGACGCGCGTATCAGCTCCACTCCGCCGCGCCCTCCCTCGTGGCCTCCCTCGCGTGCGCTGCCGCTGCCGCTGCTAGTGCTGTCAAATACGTCCGCCCTCAGATGACCCTCCCCCTCGTAAGCCTCGCTACCAGCACCGACTCCAATCCCGCCGCACCCCTCGTCTAAGAGCCCCGTAAACAAACCGTCAGGGGACCCAACCGAGTCGCCTTGCCTCCGCCCGTAACTCTCGCCGCGTCCGACGGCGAAATGGAAGCTTCCGAAGGGAGAGGGGGCCTCCTCGGATCGACAGCGCGGGAGGGAGTGACCGAGGTGGACGCCGTTCCTTCCCACGCCGCTGTCGCATCTCACTCCTTGCTTTTCATGCTGCTGCTGCTGCTGCTGCTGCTGCTGCTGCTGCTGTTGCTGTTGCGAGTCAGTGCCGGCGCTAACTCTCTCAGGTAGCGGCAAGGGGCTCGAGAAGAACGGATCCCCACTCGCATAGAGCGAATCCTCTTCGTCGATTAATGCAGCGTCAGAAGCGGCGCTAGGCCCTGATCGCGCCTCGGCCACCTCCCAGTCACCGACAGGGCTAGTAGTGCTGTTGCTGTCGTCATCACGACACGTGCTGGAATCATTGGGAAATCGACTAGCGATGGGAGGTGGAGGGGAGAAGGACGAAGCCCTGGTGAGACACGGATGAGACGACATGCGAACCATTTTTCTGCTGCCGGAGTTGCTGCTGCTCCGAATTTGATCTGCAGCGAAAGGGATGCCACTACTATCCCCTGTCGCCGCACTATCCGCGGCAGACTCTGCCACACTCGCAGTGGCATATCGATTATCTGTTTCGAAAACGTCCGAGCCGAAAAGACAACCGTCTTTCACTTGACCCGAGGTCATCAATAACGGAGATGAAAACACCCTCCGAAACCGCGTGGAGAATTCTATCGATTCAACAGCTGCTTCAGATGACTCTGGAGCTTTCGCCAGCGGCTCGCGAGCACAAACGAAGCTGGTAACTCTGGCTGCCTTCGCGTGCGCATGGCGGGTGCAAATCTGTGTCCTCCGTCGAATCGATGTGCGATGCTGGATGATCAAGGATGCGACAACGACTGCTGACGTAGCCAAAACAGCAGCGGTTCGGCTGAAATAAAGAGACGACAAAGCAACTAGAAGGATAAAAAGAGTCTCTAATCGCCGCCAATTGTCGTCAGCTGCCATTTGCCGATAAAACTCCGCTGCTTCTGCGGCTGCGACGGCTGCAGTTTCAGCAGGCGGACTCGTCACTTCCTCAGGTAAACTACGACTTAGCAGCGTAAAATTTCCACGCAAAGCTTCCGATGCGAAACTATGGCTCCGTAGAGTAACGCCTTGCACCTCCCCGAGTACTTCTCTCGGTAGGATGATCTGGGGAGGCGACGTCGCTCCTGAAGCTTCGCCTTCGGGCATTGTCGTAGAAACAATCGAAGCGTTGGCTGCGGAAGCTACGGATCTAGCGGCGATCGCATCAATAATTCTGCGAGGCTCGATGTGCAGCGCTGCGAAACGCGAGCTGTTCGGAGCTCTGCGATTCTCAACGCTGGAAAGTGGCGTCATGACCTAAGTACTAGTGCAAGGAAACGACCTGAAAAGCAGCCCTAAACATCAAACCACTCGCTACGAGCAGCGGAGTCTTTGAGATAAAGGCCTCGTCATGATAACGCGCGACAGGTTGAACAGACTTCCAAGGTCAAACCCGCCTTTGAAGAAAACTTTTTACTGAAAGAAATGGATGCGATGAGAAACTGAATTCTGTAACTGAAGTCGATCATTGAACTTGACTCACCTCAACTCAAGGCAACCCTATCCGTGAGATGAGAATGAACCAAGAGGTAGTTTCTTCTCTAAGCTGATGAACCAGTCAGGCGACAGAGATGACGTGGACATGCGGAAAGTAAACGGTGACTGGAAGGAAAGGCAAGGTGACGTCCACACATGGACGCGGAAGGTCCACGGAAATTGTGATTCATGACCTGAATGTAAGGGCGTGATCTAAGAGTTGTAGCAAAGACTTGCATCAGGAGACTGGAACACATCAGAGGTCAGTGATTGGTGGCAAAACAACTGAACGTGTACTCCTTGTTTTCTCGCGATGTCTTTCGGGAGCGCAAATGAGGTTCGCGAAGACACTTGTTTTCCCTCTAGGTACACAGCCTTTCCGCGACCGCAAATGCTACTTTTTGTCCATTATTGTAAATTCGGGGATACTCGAACCAGATCAGGTGTGGGAAAGAGGTGCCAGCGAGCCAACCAGCTTGGTGTGGTGGTGCCACTCCCAAGCCAACCAACCAGAGGCTTTATTCAACTTGATTTTTGGTGTGTGTAGATATCGTTACTGTTCGTGACTGACTTTTCTTGCAATCTGTAAGGAAAATCCCTTTAAGGGTTTAGGGTACACCACCGCGTACACCACTATTCCCGCCAACAGCACCCCACAATATTCCGTTAACATTCGCGACATTTGCCTCGACCCCATTCCCGCCACTGTTCACGATGCGACCCAACCTCACGGTTCGGTTGGTAACCCGCGCTCCGAACCTCCGCCTCGACAGTCCCCCAACTGTGAAAATGAGAACGAGAATGGGTGAACTATGAAAATGAAGTGAGTACAAATATGAAACCCTAATTGGTTGTACCCCCTATGGGATACCCCACTATAGCCTACACAACAGCATAACCTATAATGTTCTGACACACCCCCATAGGCAAAGTGGGGGAGAACAAGGGGTCACAAGACCAGTCAAGCAAAGCAAAGCAAAGCAAGCTCAGGGTGGATCACAAAGTCACCACACAGTCCGAGCACAGGGTCAAGGCCACACTGCCAGTTCACATGCAAGAGTACACACATATATATAAAGCGAGACAAGCAAGAGCAGGTATATATATATGTGAGAGTACAAGCAAGGTCAAGAGGAGAGCAAGTGAGGCAGGACGGGCACAAGACCCAGCTGAGTGCAGAAGCGCTGATGATCACAAGGCGGAAGTGCCTTGGTAAAGACATCAGCAGTGTTGGCCTCAGAGGCCACGTACGCAAGCCGCAACTGTCCACGTTGCTGTAGCTCACGAGCAAGGAAGTAGCGGAGAGCAATGTGCTTTGTTCTGTGCTCCAGTCGCTGCTCTCGACACAAGGCCAGCATGGCCTTGTTGTCTACGTACAGGACTGGAGGAGAACGAGGCGGCTCTCCAAGGTCGGTCAGCAGGTAGGTGAGCCAGCGAAGCTCCTGTGCAGCCATGGCCCCGGCGTAGATCTCAGCCTCACAACTAGAGCCAAGAACAGAAGACGAGCGAGTAGCCCGCCACGAAACAGAGCCGGAACCAAGGCTGAAGGTGTAACCCTGTGACGACCGCTGCGTAGCCTGGTCGTCAGCCCAAGAAGCGTCCGCGTGCCCAGTGAGGACCACTGGACTCCGCCCTCCAAGCACTAGCCCCATGCCCGACGTACTGCACAAGTAGCGCAACACCCTCTTCGCTGCAGCCATGTGCTCTGGTCTGTGTCTCCCAGGAGCAACATAGCGTGCAAGAATGCTAAGAGGGTATGCAAGGTCAGGTCGTGTGCAGGTCATCAGGTACATGAGGCAGCCAACAAGCTCTGGGTACGGGCCACTCGACTCTACGGACTCATCCGAAGGCAGAGCTGAGAGCGAGTGGCGAGTAGACAGAGGAGTGGCCTGAGGCGAGGAGTACGTGAAGCCGAAGCGCTGAAGGACCTGCTGCACCATGTGTGACTGAGTCAGGGTAATGGTGCGGCGTGCTCTGTCCCGGGTGATCTGCAAGCCAAGGTAGCTGCGCAGTTCACCCAGGTCTGTGCACGTGTGTCTCTTCTGCAGCTCGGACTTCACGTAGGCGAGTCCAGCAGTGTCAGCTGTGGCAAAGACCAAGTCGTCGACGTACACGAGGATGTAGAACGGCGGCAGAGAGGTGTCGGTGCGTAGAAACAGCGACGGGTCGGCAGTAGAAGGAGCAAACCCAAGAGCCGCAAGCGTAGTCCTCAGTGTGTCGTGCCACTCACGTGGCGCCTGGCGGAGACCGTAGACTGGACGCCGGAGACTCCACTGGGTACCAGGAGGGAAAGACCCAGTGAAGCCAGGTGGGCGACGCAGCCAGATCTCCTCGTGCAGGCTGCCCTGCAAGAAAGCTGTGCTGAAGTCAAGAGAGTGCAGCTCGTAGTCACGGTGAGCAGCAACGTGCAGCAGTACCCGAAGAGTGGTCATCTTCGGGGTGGGGGAGAAGGTCTGAAAGTAGTCAACTCCCTGCCGCTGACTGAAGCCACGAGCCACGTAACGCGCCTTGAAGACAGGCGGAGAACCCGGCGGCCGCTTCACCCTGAAGATCCACATGCCACTGACGATGTTCGCCCCAGGAGGGGGAACAGCGTCAACGTAGGTGCCTGTGGACTTCCAGGAAGCCATCTCTGCATCCATAGCTGCCTGCCACTGAGAGGAGTAGGGACCCTCTATCGCCTCCGCGTAAGAGCGCGGAGTCGGGATGTCAAGTGCATCCGGGTCTCCCTCAGGGGTAAGCAGTACGGACACGAGATGAGGTGAGGCAGCTGCCAGACACTGGAACTCCTCCTGCCTGTCCTCAAGGACGTCCGTGCCAAGGGCACACTCACCCCCGACGGACGGAGGACAGACAGACTCAGACTCAGCGACAAGACTAGCAGCGTAGTCTAAGCGACAGCGAGCAGCAAAGTTGACGAGCTCAGTAACGAGAGCAGACGCAGCAGTAGACTCGAAAGAAGGGTCAGTGACAACAGTAGCAAGGAGACGCGTGACAGTAGGACTGGCAGCACGAAGAGAGTCCGACTCCGGGTCGGCAAGAGCAGGAAGAGAGGACTCAGGAGGAGAAGGCAAAGGGGCACGCAGAGGAGCAGTGGACGGACGCAGAGACATCCGGTGCGTGCCAGGGACAGGAGGAGGACGCTGACGCGAACCGCGACCACTAGTGCGAGCAGCACGGACAGGCGACGCAGGGCGAGACGCAGGCTCACGACGCTCAGCCAGACCTCCAGTAGGACCAGTGTAGGGAGAAGGAGCAGGCAAAGGGGAGGTAGGCTGCAACTGTAGCTGGGACGAGACAGGCTGTGGACACTCTAAGGGAGGAGGAGGACCAGTAGAAGGTGGAAGACCAAGAACCTGCTGCAGGAGCGGAACGAAGTACGGTCGAGGCCGCGCGGCGACGCTAGAAGCAGCAGGGACAGCACCAGAACCCTCAGCAGGAGCACCCGCTCCAGCAGCACCACCAGTAGCTCCAGAACCTCCAGCAGCACCAGGAGCACCCCCAGTAGGACTGCCAGCGGTAGTCTCAGCGCCAACACCCGCAGCATCACCAGCTCCAGTGCACCCAGGACGAGCACCTCCGGGACCCGCGACCGCAGCACCCTCAGCAGCCGAAGGACCTCCAGCACCAGCAGCACGCCTCCAGCGCCGGGCAAACCACTCACGCAGCTCCTGTGGAGAAAGTGGCTCCCGGCGAGACGAAGCACTCGGAGAACCTCCAGGCGGAGCACCTCCAGGCTCAGCACCCCCAGGCGTAGCACCCCTAGGCTCAGCACCCCCAGACGTAGCACCCCTAGGCTCAGCACCCCCAGGCTCAGCACCCCTAGGCTCAGCACCCCCAGGCTCAGCACCCCCAGGCTCAGCACCCCCAGGCTCAGCACCCCTAGGCTCAGCACCCCCAGGCTCAGCGCCCCTAGGCTCAGCACCCCTAGGCTCAGCACCCCCAGACGTAGCACCCCCAGGCCCAGCACCCCTAGGCTCCGCACCCCCAGGTACAGCACCCCCAGCCTCAGCAGTCTCAGCAGCACCAGAGTCACCAGTGACCTCGACAGGCTCGACTGCGTCTACCTGGGACACACCTGA